CATTTAAAGTAACAGTTTTAGCATGAGATGACAGTAGACGTCATGCTGCAGTGAAAGCGTGACGCTGGAGAAGAATGATCAGTATAGCTACAATTAATTTAAGGGTAAGTCTTGACACAATATTATATTATAGGCTAATAATATTATAATTATATATTATATATATAAGCCTCATAATATAAAATATAGGCCTACACGTTAAAACTGTACCTCATCTATAGGCTAATAAGGAGTCAGTGTCATAGGCCTACTTCAGCAAACCTAGAAAATGATTAAATGTAGGCCAACAGTTTCAATGGGTTACGAAAATACAACAATATGTTAAACACATCTATAGTCTATAATATAGACTATAGATGTGTCAGGGGTCGGCAACAGGCGGACCGCGGTCCGGACCCAGACGCCGACCTATAATCAATAGGCTACATTAATAGGGGATTTATACATTTTTGACGGGGCAATTCTATTTTAACCGCCGCCAAATAGACGCGTGAGCGATACAGGGAGAGAAACACAGAAGAAGAGACGAGAGAGCGGGAGAGGAAAGTGAGTGAAGAGAAGAGTTAGCGATATAGTGAGAGAAGAGTTAGCGATACAGTGAGACAAGACGGCGGCAGACAAGGGGAGGAGACTGAGTGAAGAGCAGCGATACAGGGAGAGAAGCGGAGAGGAGAGTGAACAGGTGTGTTAGCGGTAGACAGGGAGATACACCTAATTACACATGGCGCTCTCTAAGAAGAGGAAAGTGGACAGTGAGAACAGAGCTTTTAACCCTGAGTGGACTCATTCATGTTCATCCTGCACACTGGGAGCACAGAACCAGTGTGTCTCATTTGTTCAGAGACCGTGGCGCTCATTAAAAGTGCCAATGTGAAACGCCATTATGAGACAAAACACAAAGTGTTTGACCAAACATTCCCTCTCAACTCAGAACTGAGGTCACAAAAAATAAGCAGTCTGAGAGCTCAATATGATCATTCCACCAGGATCCTGATCCATTAATTCACTGCCTACGTGCTAATGAATGTTCCCTCAGAGTGGCTTGGATTTTGGGTCAAAAATAAAAAACCATTTACTGATGGAGAGGTTGTCAAGGAGTGCATGAGTAGCTCAAACCTTGCTTGAGGGAAAACAAAAAGAAGACCTTTGTGAACAAATGAAGCAAATACCTTTGTCAGCATCATCAGCCACAAAGAGGAGTGAAGTATACCCAGGATGTGCTAGCCCAGCTGGATGAAGCCCTTCATAAGGCACCCTGTGAAAGCTTAGCTGTAGATGAGTCCACTGATGTTTCTGACTATGCTCAGCTGTTCATTTATGTAAGGTTCTTCAACAAAGACAAGAAAGTGTTCTGTGAAGACATGTTAGGTGTAACTCCCCTTCAGACCAGTGCAAGAGGAGAGGACATCTACCTGGTCATTAAGGAGATGTTAACGAAGCGAGGAATAGAGCCAAAACAAGTGGTTTCAACAGATGGAGCCCCTGCCATGATAGGGAGAAAGGAGCTGTGTCAAGAATGAAAGAGGATAATCCTGAGCTCATCTCTTACCATTGCATCATCCATCAATCTGTCCTGCTCCTCCCTGTCAGATGAGCATGCTGAGGTGATGAACACAATGATGAAAATGATACATGTTCTCAGGGCGTCCTCTTCCTATCAGCATCGCATGCTCAGGGAACTCCTCAGAGAAGTTGATGATCTTTTGCTGCACAACAATGTGAGATGGCTCAGCAAAGGCAGGGTGTTGGAGCGCTTTTGGTCCATCAGAAGGGAAGTAGCTGCAGCTTTCTTGGCAGAGATGGGAAGTCAGAAGGCAACACAGTTTTCTCTCTTTTTAGAAGATGAGAAAAAGATGGATAATGTGGCCTTTTTGGTTGACATCACTTCGCATCTGAATGAACTGAATTTGAAGCTACAGGGCAAGGACTATTCAATTTGTGAATTGATGACAGCTGTCCGCTCCTTTCAGAGGAAACTTGAAGTGTTCAAGGAAGATCTGCAGGGAGACTGTGCACACTTCCCAGCAGTGCAGGAACAGGTTCAGAGACATGTGTCTTCTTTTGTTGGCTTTGTAGATAAGCTGATTGTAAACTTCAGCAAACGTTTTGACAGCTTCAGCTTTGGACGGCAGCTCACCACGTTCATTCAGAACCCATTTCTTATTGCAGATGTCAGGGAGTTCTCAAAGGAAGTCACACAGCACTTCAAGTGGGCAAATGCTGGGCCTCTCCAGATGCAAGTGGTTGATCTCCAAGCAGACGTGGCCCTGAAAGAGCAACTTGGAAGAACTGACCCTGTCACTTTCTGGCTCAAAACAGTCTCTGAGAGCTTTCCCAGGTCTGAGGAAAGTAGCTCTATATATTCACCATGTTTGGCTCCACACACAGCTGCGAGGCAGCTTTCTCCACAATGAACATTATTAAAACAAAATATCGTTCCAGGCTAACCAATGAGAACCTACATGTGTGTATGAGAATGGCCCTGACACCATTTCAGCCCAGATCTAAACTCCTGGCAGGACAAGCTCCAGCTCAATTCTCGCACTGAATAAAACAAAGTGAGTGAGGGACTGCAATATAAGAGGGAAAGAAAGAGAAACTTTAAAACTGTTCAATTGTTATGATGTGTAAAGACTGATATTGTTCTATAATCGTCTGAAACTGTTAAGTCATGATGTGAAATGGTTAACAAAGAAAAAGGGAAACTCAAGCTGCTGCTACACTTTATTGTATTTATCTAAAATTAAGCACTTTTGAGATGCACACATTTTCAAAAGATATTTGATTTATTTTCTCTATTTTATTTTTAAATGCAGCCAGAGAGGAACATTACACATATCCACAGTATTTACTGTATATCTGTATAGTTCAATGTTATTGGATAATAAATATTGTTGTTTTTGAATTGTACTTTCTTTATTTGATTGGCAGTCAGTTGTTGATTACATGCAGACGTTGATAAAGCTGCAGCTACTTCAATATCACACTAATTCATGAAGCAACTTAGACATTTGTCTAAGAACATTTGATGTTCCGGACCTTTGTATGGGGAGATTTTCTCTAACTGGACCTCGCTGAATTTTAGTTGAATACCCCTGGTCTATAGTGTATCCTGCGGCTTCAGAGGTGCTGTGTCATTGTCAGCGGCTTCCTGCCTCCAACAACACAGAGCCGTGCACACAGCGAGGGAGGAAGAGGAAGAAGCCTGTCGGAAACGAGTGCTGTTTCACTTTCCTAGAGAGCTTTCTTGAAAAGTTAAAAGATTACACTAAACGTGTTAGAATATTTGTAACTCTTGTATTATGTTCGCATTTTACACCCGTTGGTACTGTCAAACTGACCTGAGCCATGATTATCATCTTAAAAAATAGAAAACACATATAAAGTCCCTAATATATATTTTCTTTATCTTATTTCCTTACAATATATGTAGCGTTTATGATTCATATTTGCAATTAAGATTTAAGATGGACTTTTATTAATCCCTGTGGGGAAATTGTTTCTCTGCATTTGACCCATCCTGTGTTAGGAGCAGTGGGTTGCCATTTTGAACGGCGCCCGGGGAGCAGTGTAGGGAACGGTGCCTTGCTCAGGGACACTCGGTAGCACTCGGTCTTTCCAGGACTTGAACTGGTGACCTTCCAGTTGCCAAGCCAAGTCCCTATGGACTTCGCCACCACCGCCCACACTTACTCCCTTTTAACAATGCAAGTTTCATTTGTTTTTTGTGATAGTTATTATCCACATCCAAAATAATAAAGACTTGGAATACATATTCATGATGATCCAGCAAAATACAAAATAAACTATTTTAGTATTGATGTTTATTATTTTTTAATCGTATTTTATTATAATAAGGGGGGGGCTCTTAGTTGGGATTGAACACTATATAATCCCATATGAGCTCCAAGCCCCTCTGAGCAGAGACACTGTTCTATTATATTGCTGGTGGAGGATTGTAGTTGAAGTGTGCTATACACTGTAACATATATAACGTATATGTTAGTGTGAGTACATGTGAAATGTTTAGATTGTTCTGGAATAATATTGTGCAGGTTCCCAATCTACAAAGACAGGAAGACAGAAGCAGACTGCTTCTCGGTGCTTTGATTGTAACAATGTATAAGGTGTGTGTGTGTCTCAGAATTGATCCAGGTCCAACTCAGAACATCTCATGAAGGACGTAACTGTATTTAAGCAAAAGTAAACATGTCTACGTGTTCATCAGAGAAAACAAGATAAAGCCGTGGAGTTTTAAGTTGAAAGAAAAATATCCTAGTATTTGATTTTTGGTGAACATTTAAAATGGGTCAATTTGACCTGAACACCACAAGGGTTAAAGAGTTGCTGATACATTTAACACTCACAGCACCTTGTTTGCTGTCTGCTCTTGTGAAGCAGAGTTCATTATATCCTAGGAACTTTACCAATGTCTTTAAGCAGATTAGTTGACTACAGTTATGGCTGGAACATCTTAGGGAACACTTTAAGACACACCCAATGTTTACTGAACTCAATCGTTATATTATTCTTGCAAAGTCTCAACTAAATCTGTCTTCTGTTTTAGAAACGTCAGTAAATGGCTCATATTCTATGCACTGGACTTTCAGGCGCAGGTACAACTGCCCAAGTATTTTTAAGAAAAGTAGTCCTCTTCTTTTAAAAACCAGATCAAGTGATGCATTTGACAGACATTGTAAACTTGTTTCATTTGAATCTAAATAGCAAACTATTCAGTCAGATCAGCAATTCAATCTTGAAGTATTTCAATAACTATTTCAAGCACTTTATTCAAAATCACAAGTACTTTTCAAATCTTGTAAGCACACATGTTAGCCCTTCACCATGAGCCCGGCTTTTGTGTGTGCCTTCTTGATTAAACATTTATCCTAACTTTTAGGATATTAGCATGGGAATGTTTCATGTTTTCAGGGGAAAATAGCTCGCTTAACAATTAGCTTATTATATGGAATATTGAACAAGAAATCAAAGAGAACAAATATGATCACATAACATTTATTTATGTCACATTTAACACAGTATCACCCCATTTTCTTCTTCTGTTACAAAAATTGTTGTGTTGCCAGGCGCAGCATCTCCCCGTGATGTGAACTGAAAGCGCGTTGCCTCGTGTGTTTGATGTTATCAACATTCCTCTCTTGTGTTCAGAGCTACCAGGCAGAGTCTGTATAAAGGTCCAGTCTTATACCAGCAGGACCGCATTAATGCAGCCGTCGTTCTCTGGGTTATTTGTCACCTGGGCATATTTACCTGAAGGAAGATACATATATTGGTTAGAGCACAATCACACATCTTTTGTTTACAAAGTGATTTTTTTGTATTATTATTGTTAAGATAGTTAATAGACATATTACCGTAGAACATGCCAATACATTTTTTTTTTTTTAAAGATTTGACGCTTCTTTTGAAGTTTTGTTTGGATAAAACTTAAATAAAAACATGTTTTTGCAAATGATCTCTTTTTTTTTTCAATTAATGTTGACGTTTGGTTTTTACAACACTTTGGATTTTTTAAAATCTTTGGAAGTCTGAAAGAAACCTACATGGCTGCTAGAATTTAAATCTACAAATAGTTTAATACTTATAATATTAGCGTAGCCTAATCTTAGGCCCCGGCCACACGAGGACGATAACGGTCGTTTGCGTTACTGTTTAGACCGTTCGGCCACACGAGGACGACCGAATACGGCACCAAACGATAACGGGTCCCAAGGTGGATAGAACGGCATACGCAACGCTCTGGGGGGTCCAACGGCTCCGTGTGTGCGCCCTATACGATCATTTTCTGATAATGATGAGGCAATAGCCCCGCCTCTCCCCACCTCTGCTGCTCACCCCCGCGTCACAGTAAACTGCACACTGAATTCAGATTATTTATCTTTCTCTCGATATGGACATAAACGCGAGTGAAGTTTAATCTGACAGGACAGAGACACCTCTCAAACTACCTAAACTAGTTATAAATATGTTTATTTTTACTGTCGGCCGGGTCACTCATTACTGGATCAGCTGCTGCATGAGACAGACACTGACGCTGTCCGAAGAGAGGGAGGAAAAAGAGAGGCTGCGTGTATTTTATTATTATATTATATAGATTCGTTATTCATTTGTTTTAAAGCTCAATAAATAACAAAGAAGACCTTTGACCGGCACTTTTATAATTTTGTCCGGAAGATTTAAACTTTAATACACGTTGACTGGCGAAAAACTCTGCCCGGTTCCCTCGGCCCCCACCGCGGAGAATAAACAGAAGGGCAACCATGACAACCATGCTTCTTCGCTGCTTTTGTGGAGGAGGAAGTTACAGCGCCACGTACAGGCTCAGCATATGTACTGCAGCTTCTCCAGCGGTTGGAGCTAAACGGAGCGGTCTCGTGTGGGCAGACACTTTCCGTTGTCTATTGCGTGTGGACGGAAGCTTGTTTGTGATTGCATTTGCGTTTTACCGTTATCGTCCTCGTGTGGCCGGGGCCTTATCTGCAGCCACTGTGCAGAAACACATGAAGTACACCAAGGGATTCACAGATGCCCAAAGAGGAGCACTCACCCCAGATAACCTTTCCTCCTTGTGTAACCAGGCCCAGCTCGCTGACATTGACCTCCACCACTGTTCCTTTTGTGATGACTCCCAGGGCGGTGTAGAGGGGGGAGGAGGGGTTCTTCTTCACTCCCAGGATGGGAAGGCAGAATGTGGCTTTCAGCTCTGGATGTGTGACATGAGCTTTCTTAAAACGCAAACCCTAAAGTAGATTCAAGAGAAAGATGTTATTTAGGAGTTAGGAACGTAATTAAAACAGACATTCAAGCCTGAACTCATGTAAGCCAAGAGTTGTGTGTGTTAGTTAAAGCAATAAAACAATTCCAATGACACTGCGATCTTACCATGGGTCTGATGAAACGCTCATATTTGGGGGGTTTACGGGTGAAGCCGTCTCCAACAAAGCAAACTTTGGTGACCATTCTCTTCCAGGCTTTCTTTTGTCTCTTTCCAGTTTTGATGACTTTAAGTACTTCTGTCTCTCCCTGGGCACGCACCTTTGGCAGGGGCACCTCCCATTTGCCCTGCAGAAAACATACACAAGATATTTGTGATTAGAAACCAATTAAAACATCTCCCAATGTTACCACATTCTGATACAGGGACTGCAGACATACAGATGTGATGTGGTACTTACAGCCTTCTCTTTCCTCTTCTGTTTGATCATGTTGGAGAGGACCTTTGCTCGGGACTGTCCCTCTCTGTCCAGCAGGTAGGCTGGCACTGCTCCCTCTGGGGTCTTATCATCGTTCTTCTGCTTGGTTCTCCTCTGTTCATGCATTTTGAGGCTGCAAAAATACAAGTCAGAATTGTTTAGCTGCTCATTTGGCATAGTTTTCATGGTTTGTTTTTTAAGACAGCCAGCATATACACAAAAAAAATATTAAACTCACGTCTTCTTCATCTGGATCTTCTCTGAATGCCTCTGCTTGTTGTACAGTTTGGCCTTCAATCCAATCAGCGTCCTGGCTTTGTGGGAACGCGTATGGGCCTCACGGCTCTCCTTCTTCCTTTTCCGTTCATCGTGGTCCAAGCGGCGGCCATGCCGCTTGCGATGTAACTCAATGTGCTCGTTCTGGGGCTAAAAAAGAAAACAAAAACGATAAATGCAAAGGCTTGGAGCAGAAATCTACAGTGCTCAGTTCCGAGTAAAAAAAACATTACTCTAGCATTGTCTCTTACATGGGGCGCTGCATTCATTTGTATATGCTTTCATTATTCGGGAAGTGGCTCATTTCCATATATCAATGATATTTTTAAAGCGAACTAAGTATATCTATTTCAAATGCATTGATCTTTCCCGTCATTTTTTAGCACACATGTCAAACTATGTCTGGTTCACTATTATATATATACTTGCAAATTGATTACATTTGGGTTTATGATGGTAAAATATCAATTTTAAGACGTCATTTCGGGCTCTAGCTAATCATAAATTTGGCACGCTGATCAATTATTAAAATATGTTACTTGCAGCCATAAATATAACAATTCCACGTTTAATCGTGTAAATACAAAAACAGCGAACAGAAACAATTAAGCCAGAGTAGCACCTTAGAATATTACACGTTCATTTAAATTGCAAAATGACCTATTATTCAATTATAAATTAGGTCTACACTCGATAAAAACGCAATGGCCATTCCCACTACATTTCAACTTCGAAACATTTGCGTTACAATTAACACCGCAAGGACAACCAAAACTAAAGATCCCTCAAAAAGATTCACAACATAAACAAGTGCATGCTCATACACTCGTTACTTCAACTGCATCTTTGTATGTAGCAGGCTCATAATTGTAATATTAACAATATAAACAACACCAGGTCAGAGCAGCACGTCACCAAGCCACATGTGAACTGATGCTAACCGCTAGCACGATATGCTAACCTGTTAAAATGACTGATAAAAGAACTACTGTGCTATAAAAAACGGTTGTCTTCATACCATTTTGTGTTGGTGGTGTTAAGTCTTTCGGCGAATACTTCGCAGGTGGTGCGAGTCGGTAAAGACGCGAGTATTTTGTGTTTTCGCTTGAGGCTGGGGTCGTTTCGATGTTGTTTTCCCCGTAGCCGATACTTAGAGGAAGTACGTCATACGGAGGAAACGGTTTGTCCGTTCGCCTAAAGTGAACGTTTTCCACATCTTACTGTGTCACTTGACCGTGTTAAAGACGATACATACAAATATAATTGGATAACAAACGTGTAAGCACCTGATAGATCAGTCATTCTTTATTAAAGATACAAATTACATATAACAGCTAGTACTGCGTTATACTTTTTTAAATAGAGACATAAATATAGTGACGGAACCGGGAATAATCACGCTTGTTTCTAGGGATGTATTTTCAAGCCGTACCGTATGAAATCGTGACATTTGATAACAGATTATGGTTTTTGTGGCACAATTTAATGCTTGAGAGTGGGATACATTTTGTATTAATGTACTGGTTATAGCCATACGTATCGGCCTGTTGTTACTGTTGTGTTAGTGAATGTCACTCCACTATGGTTCGTCCAAAACTAACACACATTATGTGGAAAGACCTTGGAAGATAAAATAAGACATTAAAGCCTGTGGGACATTTAACAGGATGATTTGGGTAAGATACGTCAAACTAAGTGCTTTCTGTAATAAATATTCCTAATATCATGTTGACTTCAAGACAAGTTTATTCTAATTCACAGGGAAGGTATGTATTAACTGCTGGGCTCCAGTGCTGCAGATGTAGAGTGAGCTGTCATGTACGAAGACACTACAGAATTCTTCCAGGTACGTTTAAAATACAAACAAACGTCACCTATCGAAAGTATTTTTAAGTAAAATGTTGGTAAAAGTATTCAGTATGCAGAAAAGCTAGTGATGTACAGGTTTTTGGAGTCTTATTAGTCCTACATTAATGTGTATGATGTGTTATCTCTTTTATACATCATTGGGTGTTTTTTGTTCCATTATATCTTTATTGTTTGTAGATTTACGCTGTCCTGTGATAACCACCTATATATAAAAAACAAGTTTATTTGTTTATGAATAGTTTATTTATCTTAAAAGTAGGGGACTTTCACAATACATAGAGGAACACAACCTTCATTTTGATAATAATAATAATACATTTTATTTTGGGGGGTGCCTTTCAAAACACCCAAGGACACCTTACAGGGCATAGGGGCAATATAGGGAACAATTAAAACAGTGGATTTAGTGAAATATCAGCCGGGGTAAGACAAGACAAACAACAGGAAATGGACTATAGAAGGACACAAAAGGACACAAAAGGACACGGGGTACAGTTTATAAAGAAAATGCCAGTTTGAATAGGTGGGTTTTGAGTTGGGTTTTGAATGTTGTTATGGAATCAGTCTGATGTGTAGTGGCAGGGAGTTCCAGAGTAATTCAATCAGAATCAGGAGAGACACGTTTTGTGATATAATACAATATATATTTATTGCCAGGAATACACAGATGATTTAAATGGTGTTTGGCGATTAGACCCCCGTTGTGTGGGAGTATCACTCGGGAGGGGAGAACCGAGCCGATAAAACCCCCCCTGGATCTAGACACCGGTGGTGGTGGAGCATTGTCTGAAGAGGAGTGGTTTATCTTGACCCTGGATTCGGAGGGACGGGAGGTGAAAGGGGGGGAGGAGGGTTGCGTCGAGTCACCTGAAATGACAGCTGTCAGAGGGGAGAGAGCAGATTTAAAGGTTTAGCAGAGCGCTATGATAAGCTTGTGGGAATAGAGCGAAGTGGTTTAGCTGGGGAGTTTCCCCCGATCACTGATTGAGAGGAGAGAGAGTAGTAACATGTGAATATGTGAATGAATGAGTAAAGACGGTCTTCCTGGTTGAACTTGCCTTAAGCTTCATGTGGCATTTCACATCATTATTAACACTTTGCTGATTCTGGCCCATCCTCATAACTGTGCTTTATGTTGTGATAGATGACGTGAAATCGCTGCGGGCTGTGGTCAACCCTGATGTATCCAAGTAGGTTATTTCATTCTGCTTTAAGCCTTTAAATGCTCTTTAGACTCAGCTGTGTTTGGGCTCCGTGTTAACTTGCTCATCCATAACTGCAGAATCCGAAACATCGGCATTATGGCTCACATTGACGCAGGAAAAACAACGACCACAGAAAGGATGCTGTATTACTCTGGCTATACGAGAGCGCTAGGAGGTGAGTACGATGGTTACAAAAGTGTGGATTTCGTACCTGATTGTTTCCATCTTTCTTTTACATTTCTGCTGCTTGTTTTTTGCAGATGTGGATGACGGGGATACAGTCACAGATTTCATGGCTCAGGAAAGGGAGCGTGGCATCACCATACAGTCGGCAGCTGTCACATTTGAATGGAAAACTCATAGAATAAACCTCATAGATACGCCAGGTAGAACAAGTGTTTATGTGAGAATGAAACACTCCAATGGAAATGAGAATGGCAGCCACTCAAATACGACTGTGTGTGATTACAGGACATGTAGACTTCACTCTGGAAGTAGAGCGGGCTCTTCGTGTTCTCGATGGAGCTGTTGCAGTGTTTGATGCTTCTGCCGGGGTTGAGGTGAGCCCTCAAGCCCTATTTATAATTTGGTGAAATCTGAACCAGAACCGCTACAATTAGTCAACCAGTTGGAAAGTATTTTGATATTAATTGTTACAGCTATTTTTAAATAAAGTCACATGAAATGCTGTTTCAGCCTCTTAAATATGATGATTACCTACTTTTTTTAAATCATATGAAGGCAAATATCTTTTGGGGTTTGACTCACAACACAGGACATTTAAAGACATCATCTTTGAGAATCTAGGATGGACATTTTTCAGTTTTTGCCTTTTTCTTTGATCTGACAACTAATCAATTCAAAATGAAATAGGTGGATTCATTAATGATAAAACAAATCCTTACCATCAGCCCTGCTCTGAACACATTTTCTTCAGGCTCAGACTCTGACCGTGTGGAGGCAGGCAGAGAAGCACCACGTGCCCTGTGTTTGTTTCCTGAATAAGATGGATAAGCCCGCAGCAAGGTGAGTGACTCAACAGTCCTAATATGAACACATTTAAAAAATGTTTTTATAACGATTTCAGTTGATATCTTCTTTCTATTTCTCACACAGCCTAAGTTTTTCCATAGAGAGCATTAAAAAGAAGTTGAAAGCCAATCCAGTCCTCCTGCAAGTAAGCCTTTGAAGCTTTATGTGAAAAACCTCATACAATGACTTTTTTCTGATTATGTAGAAATCCCCATTTGAAGAATCATACTTATCACGGTAATGACTTATAATGATTCATCACTTTAATGTAGCAGAGGATGAGCTACTTTTGCAACTTTATATTCATAATATCAGAATAAATCGCGATTTTTGTGCTTATTTTTGATGTTGTGGTGACAATCCTATTAAGGAATTATACTATAGAAACTTATCAAATGAATGAAGCAAAGTATAATATCTTCTTCTTAAATGAAGTGAAGTATAATAACATGTTAATAATATGTACTTTCTGTTTCCCAGATTCCTGTCGGCAGCGGGAAAGACTTCTCCGGTGTGGTGGACTTGTTGACCAATCAGAAATTGATATGGAAACACAAAACGATGAGAGATGAGGAAGATGGTCGGACCTTTGAAATCACACCTTTGGACGAGTCGGAGGAACCAGAGCTCCTGCAGGAGGTCAGCGAGGCCCGGACGGCTCTAATCGAGCAGGTATGTTTCAGAACATTTAGAACAGGGGGGCCACACCTTGTTGATTGTGATCCAAATCCAAAAACATATTGGGAGCCACAGTCCAAACAACAATAAAAGCATTGATTTGAAGCAGATACACTCCATTGGAATCTGTGTTTCTAGAGCAGTAAAAGAAAGAAATCTATCAAACTTACTACCTAACAATATGACAGTTTAACGTTTGATAGGTCAGTATTTTATTTGTGACCACATATTACAAAGAGTATTCCTGTATCCTGTTCTTTTCTTTTCACTATATCTGTAAAGCGTCTTTGAGCACCTGTAAAAGCGCTAACAAAATAAATCTATTATTATTATTATTAGTATCTGCTGCTTTTAAATGTTATGTAAATCAAATCAATACTTTTCTAGTTTAATGAAATGTCTTATGTTTATGGTCTAACTGTGGTAAATCTGGATATCTAATATGAATATTTAAAAAGTCAGGAAGAAATAGTACAGTATTGTTTCGTGGGACATAAGGTTAGGAGAGAGATCATTTAACAGATTTTAGTCAGCTTTTCATTTTAAACTACAATATGTAAGTTATAGGAAATAACCCAAAAGTCATATATGAATCATTTGTAAAATCTCACCAGTTTGTCCACACTGCTGAAAATCTCCAATTTCTCAATCATAGGTTGCTGATCTGGACGATGAGTTTGCTGATTTGCTGCTGACTGATTTTGGTGAAAACTTTGATGAAGTTCCCTCAATCAAAGTAAGTGTTGTATTGTTCCACAGCATCAGCCTTTTAAAGTACCACTGTTACTTGTGAATACGGGGTAAACCTGGCTGATGTGTCCCCAGCTGCAGGAGGCCGTGCGGCGGGTGACTCTGGCCCGTAAAGGCGTCCCGGTCCTCTGTGGGAGCTCTTTGAGGAACAAAGGTGTTCAGCCTCTTCTAGACGCCATCACTGCTTACCTGCCCGCCCCCAATGAACGGCACCATGACCTGGTGTGAGTGCACCCTTTAACCTTTCACTAATTCAGACCTACAATCTTGTCATAAAGGACCATCCCAGCGTTATTGGTGTCCAAGTTCTGCTTTCTAACACATATTATTCTTTGCCTTTTTTCGTCTTGGTGCATTTTTATTTTTGACAAAATGACTATTAACACTTCCACAGCTATCACACAAAGTGATAGTCCTGAGCTGCAAGTATGTAAAGGCAGGCTTCGGTTTTGCTTTGATTGAATCATATTGACTGTTTCTGAGGAAATATTATTTCTTCACTTTTTGTTTCATTAAATTGAAACAAAGAGACATCTGGGGCCTGTACTACGAAGCTGGTTCAACCTAACCTGGATATGTTTGAGTTAGCCGGTTGGCCTAATCCAAAACATACGCGCTCTCGCTAAACTGTACTACGACGCTGGTTATC